GTAACACGTACCGTGGGTCAACTCGTGTGGCTTCACTGTGAGCTTAGAGCTTTCACAGACCCAACTGCTGCCGGCAGGACGCCTTATGGGCATTTGGGGAGAAATCAGCTTTCTTTTAGAAAGGCTAAATTTCTAGCTTTCCCGGTGGTGAAGAAGTGCTCGAAAGGCAGCTCTGTGAAGGCTAGAGGACAAGGGGCAATGCCTGATCTGCACAAAGCCTGGCTGGTGAGCACCCACGGTACTTGTCTGACCGGCAGTCTCCTGGGACAAACATCACCGTCAACCCCCCTTGAAGAAACCTGAACCAGCATCCCCAGGTCAGCACCCTGCATCGCTTTACCCCCGCATCTATAACCCGTGGGCCCCATGGCTGGATCCACTGGCTCACCAAATCGTGGCCTCAGAAGCCAGAAATTCAGATCTATAGTTCTAATAACAGCGTGTTCTGCAGTCTTTGATCGCTTGAGGACAGCAGCTGAGTGTGCCAGGCTGGGCCTGTGGCTACACTGGCAAGCGGAGCATCCGCCGTACAGCGTTTTCTTCGGCACAGAGCCAGAGCTGCTGCATGGCAGGCTGTGAAATGGCTTCCTACGGGCAGGAAGCCTCTGACACAACCCAGCAGTCGCAGCCATCCCATACAAGAAGGCGGCGCGGAGCAACAGATGTGGCAAGCAGGAGCATTGTTTGGCGAGGTCTTGGGGGGAACCGAGGATGTGCTGTCACTCAGCAGGGGCAAGCGCTTAATGAAGTGCTTAGCAGACATCACAGAGAGCAGTGACACCTCCAGTGGCTCTTACCTCTTGGGCGACTGGCTGCACCGGTGCTGGCTCTCCCCTGTCTGTCTTTGCTGAAGTAATAGACCAAAATCAGCACCCCGAAGGTGATGAGAAGGTCCGCAGTGATGATCCCTGCCACTGCCAAGGCATCCAGCTCCTCACAGTTTGCGCACACTGCCAAGAGGAGAGATGGTGTTCAGAGTCGAGCACCCTTCCTTTCCAGCAAGGAAAGGTCAGGCCTCGCTCGTCTGCTCCGTGCTGGCAGAAAAGATACAGGTCAGGGGAGGAAGGAGAAAAGAGCAGACAGAAAGGAAGGGGGACAGGCCTCTTCGGTCTGCAAATGGGCACAGTCCGGGGGCTGGTGTGCGCGCTCTCCTTTGCTCCCCTGGTCGATGGGTCTCAAAAACCAGGCTGTGCGCTCCAGATGGGAGGTTTCCACTCTGCAAGATAAGGAATGCCTCTGGCCTTTGTGACAGACATCGCCCTTGCCTCGTGGCGTGGCAGAAGGTGTATGACAAAAGATGGCGTGTTGTTTATGTGGGAACCACTGACATGCGTGAGGACAGCGGGAGGGAAAGGCAACGAGAGAGGGAGATGACTTTTGCCAGAAAGGTGCTCTTGGACTCTGTTACTGCCCACACAGCGCAGGATGTGTGGACTGTAGCTCATAGACTGAGGGCTTTTTCGCTCACCTCTGGCGTTCAGGTACAGTTCGTGCTTGGTAGTCTCTGAGGAACAACGCACGTTGAGAGGAGAGCTGTCGTGATTCTCTATAGTGTACTTGCTCTCTTTGTTGTCTTGTTTCTTCCCACTTAACTCCCAGGCTATGCTGCCTTCACTCACGGGACACGTGAGCGTCACTGTGGTTCCAGAAATCTCCACCAGGATCTCTTTATTGGAAAATGGGCCAACGAGAAGGGAAACCAGGATTACAAACGGCTTCTGAGCTTCCCTGCCCACCCCTGATCGCACCATGACAGTTTGCTCTGCAAAATCTTTGATTTCATGGTGTGATGTAAATTCCCCTGTTGGAAAATGCCCAAACCTGCTTGGGGATCCCAAGCAATAATTAGGGGTTTTCAAATCAGTGAGATCAGTAACAATTAATCAAAGGGGAATTTGATTAGCCTACAATATTTGCAAAATTCCGGTATTTCTATTTGACTTGTAATCCTCACTTGTGAGGCACAATTGGTCTTTTTATCGTACTACACAGTTAAGAACGTTGGCAAAATACACTTACCCTGCTGCGCTGCGGTGCCAGCTACAAAAGAAAGAATAATAAGTGTTATGTAGTTTAGCTGCTGACAGACACCTGCCCTACATCAGGGATATCCTTTCTGAACTCAGCTGCTTGAAAGAGATGCTTATACTCCTACATCTGTGCTAAAGGCACAAGAAGCATTCTGTCAGCCGGGACCGGATGTTGTTTTGAAATGAAGGCTTTTCCTTCAGAAGCCATTTTTAACGGGGACTAACGCAGAATGGCAATTGGAGTAATTTCCTGACCCAGTTTAGAAAATGGGTTATTGCAGGCTGTACACCCCACAGTTTTGCTTTATCATCATGGCTCAAAGACTGCCAGAAAACCATGCCTGGTTTCTACAGTAAGAATCTCTGTCCTCTGCAAGAGTTTGCTCACTGTGGGGGTTGGACCCTGATGCTCGGTTTGACGCTGTAAAGCAGTTTAGCTATGTGATGTCTTTCTTGGTAGGAAACAAGTGGCTCTGTTGAAGTCTCTGGAGCATGACAGAAACAGTTTTTAGGAGTTCTGAATCGGAACTGAGATTTACTTTAAAGATACTTGTCCGTAGAAAGGAACGTAAGTAAATAAAGGAACGGCCTGTATTCATGTGTTCAGCGCTGTTGTCATCCCAGGTAATGCTTGCTTTACAATAGGAGTTACTTGTAACAAAATTGTAGATTTCAAATCTCACAGGCCTAGAACTTGGCTGGAGAGAAGGCAATCTGATGCTTTTTTCTTTATATAAGATGAATTTAAATTTGAAAAAAGAACAGGCCATTGCTAAACCGAATGTGTTCAATCTTCTCCAAAAATAGCAGTTGGAATTTGCAGCACGTTGGCAGAGTAGCTATAGTCTTACTGTAGTATCTTTTAGGTATCTTTCAAACTTATCTCTCATAGTTACCAGCTTCTTGATAGTCTTTACAGATACTCTGCATTTCATCCTGTGTAAATGCTAGTCAGTTCAAGCTGGTAACATGGAAATTGCTACCACTCCCACGGTCTCGCAGTGATTCTGAAGTTATTTACCCATGATCATGGAAGGGTTGAAGAAAACTGCATGCATAAAGCGTAGAAATAAAATTAGACCCTTACAGTTCACACCGCTACAGACAGTCATGCATCGAGCTCCAACCCTGCTGAAGTTTGGAGACCATGTGTCTCAGTCAACCGGCTAGGAAGCAAAAATTCACTAGGGACCTCGGGTTCTGTCATGGTTTAACCCAGCCGGCAACTAAGCACCACACAGCCGCTCGCCTCTCTAGCCTGAGAGCGTTGGATTCCCGTGCCCCGGTGCCTGCAACCTGCACTCGAGGGAAGGCGCGCTCCGAGGGAAGGCACACTCCAAGGGAAGGTGCGCTCCGGAGAGCAGCGGTTCCATAAGCACTGCACGCGCCTCTTGCAGAAGACGTGGCCGCAGGTACTTTGCAAGACCAGTCACGCACCCCGGGCCTTCTGGCCAGCTGTACTCACCCACACTCAGCAGGAGACCCAGCAGAGGCAAGGACCACGCCAACCTCATCCTTGCGTTCCTCCTTCCCGTGCTCCTCTCTACCACATCAGAGCGGCATCGCTGAGCCTGGTTGCGAGGGAAGAAAGAACACAGCGGCTTCTCAAGTTCTCGCTTACAAGAAAGAGGCCCAAGACATTTTTCCCAGAATTGTGTACGGCAACAAACTGAGCAGTGCTGGGGAGACTCACAGTTTCCAGTGAAACCTGCAAGCAGCCAAGAAAGACGCAGAACACGTATGACAAAATAAGCCCGTGTCAGGAAGTGTGGAGGCTCAAAACGTCTTCACGGAACGTCATTGGCAGCAAGGGGCGGCTATCGAGCCACAGGAGACCTGTAGGAGCAGCAGGAGAGATAAACGAGCCTGGATTAGATTTGGCATCAGGACTTTCCTAACGACTTTTCAAAGCGAGTGTTTCTGTAGTTCAAATGACTGCAAGCAGCCTCACATAGGAGGGCATAAACAAAGGCACCAGAAATGCTATAAGAAGCTCAGCACTTAGAGATGCCGAGCCAAGAACAGAAATGAGCCCGTAAGTGCCAGGCTGTAAATCCCAGGGCTTTTAGTCACTGGTGATGCAACCTCACCTCTACTTTTCTTATTTTGCTCTAACACAACCCATATATTCCCGCTGCCTCTTCAGGAGTGGTGTGTGCCAGCTCCTTGCTTAACTGCATTGCTGCTTCTCTTCGGTACACTGCAAGCCTGAAAAGCAATTCTGCATTTTCATGCCGCAGTCATACCCATGTTACGAATTGCACCCACAATAAAATCAGCTTTATTTCTTCAAACCACACCTATGTCTGCCTCCTTCACCATGCTGGCAGCCCTCGCAGAAGGTAAACACTAGGGGGAAGGCTAAGGCTGTTTGGAGGAAACCTCTGTCTCACAAGCTGCCAAAAGCAGAGGGAACGTGGTGTCGCAGACCCATCCCGAAAGCCCGAAGCATCACAGCCTGGGAGCAGTGCAGACCCTGTGCTCGGGCACCCCTGCCACTGGCCCACCCGGAGGCTTTGTGCTGTCTCTGTTGAAAAGTTGCTGAGCTGGCTTCTTGCTCCTTCCCATTTCATGACCTGGCTAATCCCAAGTTCTGGGCCCTTATTTTGTTTATTGAGGTGCTCTCTTTGGCTGTCACACCTGTCTTTTATTTATTTATGGTTCAAAATGATAAACGAGAGAATTTATGTCACTGGTAAGGATGGCAGGGACGCGGTCTTCCTTTACCAGTTGGAGTCAGCACGTTTTTGAAACCAGATGCTGGGTGTTAGTGAAAGTCTGCAAGCGAAGATCGGAACAGACCCTCTTCCCAGTCCGAGGCATTACGGAAATGTCTGAAGTGAGAGCCAGTAGCGCTGCTACGTGGCCCGCATGGCCAAAGGGCAGTTACATCATGAAACACACTTGTCCTACTCAACTCTGCACGCCTGCCAGAGGATAAGGAGTTGCTGCTGCGCAGGAAGACAGTCTTAGGAGGTGGCAGCAAACTGCGGAGCACTGCCTTACAGATGCTTGAGACGGAATCTGAACAGGCAAAAGTACCCTCTGCTTGCGAAACCAACCAACCAACCCAGCCTAATAAATATTTGTGGTGGCAATGAAAGAAATGGAGATGATGTCTTGGAAATCTGGGGTGATGCAGTGATGAATGGTCAAGTTATTCCCATAAAAACAGAGATATCTGCCACCTTGGAGCTGCTAGCAGAGAAATGTTAGCAAAGACAAGGTTCTCTGTGCTGTTTTGTGGACAATCCATGAGACTGATGAGCTCAGTGCTTTTTTACTTTGCCCAGCTTGCAACTTGAGGCTTAATAGTTAAAAATAAATTCAGTATCCTCCTCTGAAATTGCTACAAGGACGTTACAACAGCAAATGGATGGAAAGATGTTCATGTGGCTGCTCATTAGCAGGAAACCTGAGAGTCCTGCTGCTGTCCTTTTTCCACCAAAATCTTGTTCTGACATGCTCCCGGTGTGTCCCAGGTAATGCAAAACATCCCAGTCAGAGCCCAACCGCTGCACAGCCAGAGCGCCCCGGCTCTGCTCCTTAGCTCTGAGCTGAAGGGAGTCCTCCAGAACACCCCACAGTCAGGGCATCCTCCCCGTCCCGGCCTTGGCATCCCTGCAAGGAAAACTAGCTCCAGTCACACCAACAGCTCATAACCTGGGATGACTTCTTGGAACTAGACCATGGAGCAGACTCAAACACAGCCACCGCCAGCAGCAGGTTCTGCCCTTAAAGCACTTTACGGTCTTTGAGGGCAAACATCCTTATTTTGCCGACACGTGCACAGCTCAGTTTCACGCTCTCACCAGTGCCACGTGCCGCCAGGAAAACGCTCCGTATGGCACTGAGCTTCTCTAGCACCTCGCGCTGCTGTTAGGTTGCCTGTTTAAAAAATTTCCACGCGCTGGATGCGTGCCCACACTGCTGCCACCGACTGTGTGGTTTGGGTTGCTTTTTTTGGGGGGGTTGTTTGCAGGTTTTTGCCAAACAAATGGCCCTCATTCCTTCAGTCTATCTAAGAACCTTCAGGCAAATTGTCTTTTAGGAGCAAAATTACCTCCCATAAGAGGGGAGTGGTTTCAGGTGGAAGCTGGGAGGAGGGATGATTGCAACACAAAAGAGCAAAGGAATATGGGAGGCAGAAGAAACGAATCTTACCTTGAAAATCTGCCTGTTTTACGCAGAGAAGTGAGCTGTGCCGGCCGCACCTTGCCGCTCCGTGCCAGGGCAGGGAGGGCTCTCTGACTCAGGCAGGAAGGCGCCCTCTGCTCCACTGCCTTGCAGACCCACGGGGAGAAAGGAATGTGCTCTGCTCCGCTGGGAAAGCTTTGAGAAACTCATCTTTCATCCGGTCATCGGGAACCCGAAACGCATTTCTCTTCCAGGTGCTGCTCAACCCGCGGAGTACGGATTTGTCTTCCCAATGGATGGCCCCAGCTGGCTGGGTGCTGTGCTCTTCCTTGGGGTACAGCTCCGAGGTAAGGCAACCTGGTACTGTCTGGCCTCAGTTGCCATCTTGACTTTCCTCTTCTGACCCCTTAATTATCGTCCCCATTCAGGCAGCGTCTTTATAGGGTACTGGTTGTGGACAATTGCTGCGATTCTTTCGGTCCCAGGTTCACTGCGAGTTGCCCGAAGTGATTGAGTTTCTTTGACAAACAGGTTTAGGTGTGTTCGAGCGGAAGAACACTGATCTCATTCTGAGCTCTGGTTACACATCTTTTCCTCTCCTGCCGGGAATCTGGACTTTACCCCTAGATGGTTTTTTTCACTATCTTTGTTACTAGACAACAGGAGATTGTTAAGAAGCAGTGGGTTTAGGTCCTTTACACAGTAACGATTCCAGACTGGAATCTAAGAACACCGTGTCCTCCTTTGCCAAGTGCTCCAGCACACGGATACGCTTGGTAATCTGTCCTCAAAGAAGTATTTTACACTCATTTCCCACAGTTGTTCTTTTAAAGGGGTTTAAAATGAAAAGACTGCACACCAAATCTTCGGATGAGCGATGTGATCTCTGCCAATGAAGTTTTTAAAATCTGAGCACCTTCAATGTTTTGGCATTTCGAATGTTTTCTCCTTTGAGGAAAGAAACTATTTGGCAGGGAAGTCTTTGGTTGTAAATTATTGTCAAATACAGGAAACGTATTGATTGTCTTTGGTACGAAGCCATATTTTACAAGCTAAGATAAGGGTTTTTTGCTTGAATCACACTGGGGTAAGTTAACTCATCTTCCTCAAGTGACAGGAAATTATTAGTATTTTCTTTTGCTGCTGGGAATAAAGTGAGAACTTGCAGCAGCACCGTTTCGGTCGCACCCATCCCCAGAGCGACTGGACCCTGGAGTGGCAGGGAAGCCAGGGGACAGCTAGGGCTCAGGACTGAGAGGCATCTCCACCAGCACACCTTGGGTTTTCCTGTTTCTCACCTTCCTTCTCTCTGCGCCTTGATGCTCTCTCGTGCTGGTTGTCTCTCTTTCAGGGCAGCATCGAGGTCGTGATGCTAACTTATTTTTAAAGCAGCAGCTGTGGTGGTTTGGTTAGCAGAGGTTGTTTCTTTGACAAACAAATGCTTACAGATTTACATTGTGGATTTCCTCTAGAGTTCCTCAGCCTGACTATATTTGACTGTAGCTGTCCAGCTGGGCTATGACCTTTCTAACAGGCACTTTTACATCAGTAAGAGCAGTTTTCACCGTGGTGTGAAATAAAAAAAGTGTATGAAGCGAAGTTCTAGCATGGGAAATAGCAACGGTTTATATTGGGACTCAGCAGTCCCACTTGAAAGGGCAGGACTGCTTTTCTGAAGAAATGCGCTTGGGGAATTGAGCGCAATAGAGTGTAATCACTCGTGAAAATGTGACTAGGACAAGCACATCAAAAGTTTTATGGGATCTTTAGTGCCAGTCAGGAGCAAGGGTGTATTTAAGGAAGGGCGGCATTTACAACAGCAGTGCACCTCCTAGATGTGGAGTTTGCTTGTGCCTGAAAAGAGACGTTTCCCCCCAAAACAAAGCCTATTGTCCCTGTAGGCAAGTCCTTCTCAGTGGGCCTTTCTCAACCAGTTATCAGATCTCTGAGTGTTTAACTGTGCACCCAAAAAACTACAAAGAAAGCAGCGTACCAGCAGCTCGTATGTCCTTGAAACCAGCCCCGTGCAGCTTGCACATCGACTGGCAAAATCCGTGAAGCGCAGGGGAGCCCTTGGGTCCCGCACACACAGCATCACCTCCCTCAGTAATTACATCTGTGTGCCTGTGACTGTCAGGTTACACATTGACAGGGATAGATAAGGCAGGCTCCTGCACAGACTAAATGCAGATAAGGACAAGTGATGAGCTTACTGCTAGACAGCAGTTTTCTTTACCTCTAAGCCCTCCTGTTTTCCCTGCAGCACTGTGGCTTGCGGCAGCTGTGGAAGTTCACACTTCCAAGGAGGTGGATGCTGTGAACGGCACTAACCTGCGGTTAAAATGCACCTTTTCCAGCAGCAGTCCTATTAGCCAGC